TTCTCTAGCACATTTCTGCTATTTCAATAAAAATCACCTCCGGCCTAAATTATTTGCCGGCATAGTCCAAATAAACACAAATGTCATGTAATGCGAATGCTTTTCGACCTTTAAAAATACCATATAACCATACACTTCGTGAAATTTTCAATATCACTCCGTTCCTGGTATACTCTCATTGCATTCATTCCTGGTATTTCTATACAATCATTGTCTTTCTCATATAAGCCATAATTCATATAAACCTCAATTCATATAACTTTCAATTCATATAAGCCTCTGTTTATATAAACCTAAATTATAAAGGCTACGAAGGGTTAGGGTGGTAAATTAACTATGAAAAATCAAACCAATATAGTAAAAAATCAAAGTCCTAATAGAATTTTAATTTATTACTTAAGGCAACAAAAAAAAAAAAACCAGACATTATCAAAAATAGGCGGTTTAGGGATTCTAATAAGCTATATTAAAAGTACGCCCAATTTGATTTCAAAAAGCAGTTACTGTTTAAAATTGGCCGCTTGCGAACGAAGTCGGGTTATCGTGAGTCATGTGACCCTTGCAGTTACGCAGAATATTCCAGTTTATGCATGGTAGATCAATTTAAGGGCTTATGATTGTTTTCTAGAGCTTTTGTTTTGTTTTTTAGCTCGACAGAAGTGTCCAGTTCCCTCCCACCTCCCGAGACTAAAATGAAAAGTCATTTGTGTGGTATCTCAGCATAGCGTACCAGAGACCCGAATGGAGAGCTGGAGTAATTTATCCCTTTACAAGTCAGCAGACCATAGGGTGTTGTTTTTCTTTAGGTACTGACCTAGTATTGTGAAGTTGTATTAGACCCGAATGGAGAGCTGTTTGTAAGAAAAGTAAGAATAATTTATCTTTTTACAGTTCAGCAGACCAGAGGATGTCATGTGTATTAAGGCAGACTACCATAAAGTAAAAGGGAGTAGGAAAGGAGGGAAGAAAAGAGAGAAATCTATTGTGAGATAACACAACGATACTCGGCAACAGCTCAAAACTTGTGCGGGCGACCCCCAATCCAATACTGTATTACATCGTAATCACCTGAATGTAGATGTACTATAAATAAATTTGATGACGAACGATAATAAATATCAATAATAGCCCTAGCATGACTTAGTCAACGCATAGGACTAAATTGTCAATAAACCATGCACTACATTGCACTCCGTTTTGGATTAGTCTCGTCTTTTGTCATCTCATAAAAATTATCAAAATTATTGTTATCCATTAAGATTTGGCATATACAGTATTTAGCTAATGAACTGGGGTTGGAAGCACGGTTCTTGAGCATGTCATATATACCAGGTCTATAATTCTTGGTCATATTAAAATATATCATAGCCACTACTATCATTATAAATAAAGTAAAAATATTGATTTCTTAAATCATGGTAAATAAATATTTTTTTAAGCATTTTAAGTCACATAAATTATTTTTAAATACAAAAAATTTTGCTCAATCCTTTTTCAACACATTAATGGGTAATATTAGTCGTTATAATCCAGTGATAACAGTAAGCAATATATTACGTATTCTATGTCAGCATCAACTAGTCAAAATGAAGACTTTATTGTCGAAGTTACAACTGAAGAAAAGGAACCTGAAGAAAGGGAATCTGAAGAAAAGGAATCTGAAGAAAAGGAATATGAAGACAAAGAAAATGAACTTATAAAGTATTGTACAATTAGTCCGGAAGGTGACTTCTAGTTGAATTTGTAGAAAGAGATAACCTTGGTAACATTTTGTGCAATAACTATTTAATTAAATGATTTATGATTTATACTATTAATAAACTTTTGAAATCTTTTAACTGAATTAGAATTCGAATTACAAGTGTATAAAATTAAAAATACAAATAATTCAGATGATTCAACGTTAGATGACGAGCAATACAGAATTAGGAGATGACCAAGAATTATCATACCGGAAACTTTTCATTCCTACCACATTTAATTTTACAGAAACGCAACTAAATTTGATTAAGGATTACCGTAAAACTATATTTATGCGTTACATTTCTGTGTCGGATAAATCATTTAGTTCAACATAATTTAGATTATTAACAATATCTTTTATCAGTTGTATAGAAATAATAAATTATTTTATAGAAAATAATAGCCAAAAAAAATCTGATGGAATTTCGCAATTATGGACTTACTTTCGTTTTCATAATTAGTAATAATAATGGTGATTACTCAATTCATAATATCGATGACAAGGAATTAGCGATTAAATATGGTGGAATAGTAAAATTGTTTTCTGAAAAAGAATATATAAATAATCAAAAGGGTGAAGATGAACAAATAACAAACAAAAGCAACCAAAATGCCGATAGATATATTCTAATTCTCCTTACACTTTCAGGGATCTATAAAGAATAAATCCATTAAGAACATACAAAATTTAAAATATCCAAAAAGAATATACAATGTCTTGACTGATTATTTGTCTTATGGGCTTTACAAAACGATATAAAGAAGTATACTGAATTATATGCTGAATTATTTGCTTATATTATATATTGCATAAATAGGCATTATTTTTTGGTTGATACTATCGGAGAAGGCATTGAATTATGAAACATTTTGATTTAAAGACAGACCAATTAGTAAATACCTTTCGGAGACAGATTTTATGCAAATCGATCATTTTTGAAAAAAGTCCTAATTTTGCAATATCAAACAACGAAAAATTATTAGTATATATGTCTATTAAAAAAATTAAAATATATTCGATCGAATGCGGTCTTGAAATAATGGAAATTGAAGTAGAAAATTTTGGATATAATGGATTTTTAAATGAGATTGTACTATTTAATTTTTTTCACAATGATGAGGTATTACTTATGTTCTATAAAGACGCATGGCTGTCTGTAATATTTTCGGTTCATTACAAGATTCTGTTAAATTAGAAGATTTAGAATTTATAGAGAAAATAGGGATATTATTAAAAAAGTTACAATTATCAAACTCATTCATGGTCATAGATAATTATGACAAATTAGCTATTTATGACGATTTATTTGTAGATAAATATTTGAAGCATTTAAATAGAAATGATAAACAAGATTGAAATAATCTTGATAATAATATTCAAGAATCAGAATTAGATAAATTTCATAATTTGATTGAACCTTGGCTCTGTGATAGTAATGCTAATTTATACATTCCACAAAATTGGTTTTATCTTGATGAGAAAAAAGAAAAAATTCTTCTAATTGGAAACCATTCAATTCAAGTTTGGTATAATAGAGGGCCAGAGAAAGGTCCTAGAAAAAGATCTCTTGAATTTATTCACGTTCCTTTTCCTCAATTGGACAATTGGGTAGATAAAACAATGAAAGTAATAGATATCAAGTATTGTATCGGAAAATTCAATCTTAAAATTCAAATTGAAGATGCTGAAGGAACTCTTCAAATTAAACAAATTAAAATAGAAGATGAATATGATATTATAAATGTAGTAAAACATGCTTGTTAGCACTTAAATATTTCTATGGTTATAAATTGTTCGAGCAGATTCTTAATGAGGAGTTCAATTTAAAATTCCATGATATATTATAAGAAACACGAAAAATAATTTTGAGATTTATTTACTGCACCCAAATACATGGCAGTTGTTAGATTTTCGCCTTGATTTAATATTGAGGTAAGAGATCATGAGCTTGTAAACGACATTTTATCTTTTGGAAAATTGGTTCATATACCGCAATATTTTTCTTGGTCAGGTGGGAAAGTACAGTTCATAATGCTATTTCCGGGTTGTATTTTACTGTAATATTACTTGTGACTGTAATATGTACACTGAATATAACTGTAACATATTAACATTTTACTTACTTCTCCACAGATTCTACTATGCTTGCATGTTTTTTAGAATATTATTCTAATAATGCAGTTCGTAATATTGGATGGATGAATACTGTTGTAGACATCATACCAAAATTATATAGACATGTCGAAAAAATAATTAAAAAACAAAGGTGATAATCTTCATAAAATAACGTGGATTTGAAATCCGATTTATTATAAATTTTATCACTTTAAATATTAACAAATGAATATTCACACAATAGAATCATATATATATTATGCTCAAAATTATTTTATAATCCCTGCTTTTGTAACAAACAAATAGATTAATTATCCTTTGAATTTCTTGAAATTTCTCCAAGGTCAAGTGGTTTATTAAAAGTTTTTATACCTATAACGCAGTTGATTCCACAAGATTCGAGATTGAGTATGAAAAGAACTTTGCGTTAAAATCTGTTTAGTATATTCTGTTATACGTAATTAATTTAATTTTATTTTAAATTTACCGTAGTTATAATAAATGTGTTGATATTCGAATGGTACCTTTAGTAGACTTTACAACAAATAAAATTATATCAGATATAAAAGAAAGAAAATTTACAAATTTTCTAAACTTTTAATTTCTCCTAACCAGTATTCGTCTCTTAAAGAGGAGGACTATTGTCCTTTTATTAAGTTAATAATAAAAGGTGAACGTAATATTATATATGAAAATCTATCAATGGGAGCTGTCATGAATTGGATGTGGTATTTCTCTAAATTCTATTGGCCTAGACCTTGTATATTTTTGCCTTATATTTTTTAACCTATTTAATTATTTCTTGGTCATACCTTTTCCAAATACAAATATCTAAAACATATCAATATATTCTGATAATCACAACAATTGTATTATTTTATTATTTATCATTTTATCACATTGTAATTGAAATTAAACAATTCTATCAAAAGGAAAGCAATATTATTTAGACCTTTTTAATCTGATAGATCTTCTATCCCTTATTGTACCAACATTCAGCCTTAGTTATATTTTAATTTGTTATTATACATTTGATGATGGGTTTAAAAATACTGAAAGCAGTCAAGTCTTGACATTCTATATATTCTTTAGTATTTTAATTCTTTGGTACGAATTTGTAAGTATATACTTATTCAATACTGTATAGTTACAAGTCTTTTTTCTAAATTTATACTGTTCATTTTATATAATTGTCAGATTTTATTATTTTGCATATTTGAAGGTGTAGTGTGGCTAATAATTCACCTTAATAAATTTTTATCTGGATTACATTTATAATAATTACACATAATCTAGGTTTTGCACATACCTTAATATACTCAAATATATTATTATTTCAAATATATTATTATTTCAAATATATTAATATTATTATTTCAATACGAAAATTTTTATTGTTTTTTATTCTAGTTGTTATTGCAATGGTAACAACTATTATTACATTTTGGCTATATATAATGAATATCTTTAATTGTTATTCATATTAATCATAATAATTAAACTTAATTATCATTGCTAAATTATAGGGTCATGCATTGTAAGCCTTTTGTATTTATATATGATTTTTTTTACTTAAGTGTTGGAATTTTTAAAATGTAATATCAATATTAATTGTATATATTTAGATTTGCTCTTCTTGGTAATCCATCTTATATCATTCATGAGGTAAGCTTTCAATGCTTAAATTAATAATATAATTTTATTATTTTTCTTTACATCTAATTCTTTAAAAAAAAGTGATGCCTTTTCAGATGCAGTTAAAAATAGTAAACCTGGCGTATATCGTTTTCAAATTGATTATATTCATGAATTTGCTCTTCTTGAAAAATCATTAGAATTAAATAATTTAGTTTCTAAGTTTAATGATAAAATAAGAGCAAAGTATATTTGTTTTCATGATTATCCACAAATTACAAATTCTTGGAAGGAATATCAGAAAAATGAAATCAAAACCATTTCCTTATATTCAAATGTTAAATAAGAGTGAATTAGAATCTTGGTCAATTGAAGATTGTAAATTTATTTGGGAAGAATATTGGTTCCTTGAAGATTAAAGAGAAATTTCATCAGTTTATAATAGTTATTTAACTAATACGTATTAATTATTTTTTGAAATATATAAATATATATATACTGAATATATCTAGAATAAAATAGAATTTAAGTTGTATCGAAAATGATCATGAACTAGGTTTGCACATTACTTATTATTAGGGTTCTACAAAATCAAATCAAATCAAATATTCAATAGATTTAAATTTGATATGATTTTTTCAAATTAAAAATCAAAAAGATTTGAATTTGATCAAATCGAATATAATATTGATTTGAATTTGATTTGATTTGTTTGATATTTGAAATTACAGCAAAGTGGTGGTATGTTTTGTCATTTCATAAAGAATAGCAGATATTAAATAATATATATGTGTGTTTCATATCTATATCGATTCTGAATTAAAATGTATTATTCTTGATTTTCACCGATAGTAAAATGACCTAGGTCAATTCGTAATACAGATCATGGAAACCACATCAATATAATAAACTACTGATATTATATAATTTACCAGTAGTTAGGCCGTCCAAATGTGCGTGCTTAAATAGGAATATATTAGCCGCATAACAAAATTCTGGCTCAGAATGGGTCAGAATCAATAAACTTGCTAATAATCCAGCAATCTACATGCCAAGTAAAATTGCCAATAGTTATTATTGCTTAATGCTGATCTAACGCTGATTATAAACTTTGGCAGTCTGCTAAATTTTGGTTGCGCAACTAAACTATCTGTAAATCGCATGATCATAACATATTGGGATTATTGCTATCAAAATAGTGCCTTCCGAAGAGCGATTTAAAACCCAAATGTAAGAATAACTAACGGTGTTGACAGATAAAATGATGAATGAATGATATAATTTCTGGAGCAGAGGAACTCAAGCCTCAGACAAAATTTTGTATGGGTCGACTTCACAAATTTCAATCAGTACGCATCAATTAACTTTAGCAGTATACAACATATTATTTAACTTATTATCAAATATAACAAATTATTCTTTCAAACTTTATATATCTACAGTTTAAAAATAAAATAAAAAATGAAAAGTTAACGGCAATTAGTATCATGTAATTTGTTGTTTTTAGTAATGATAAGAATTAATAACTAACGATAACATAATTGACGAAATAAGTCGGATTTTTGTACTAAGACATTATACTTAAATAGAGATGTTAATCGGCACGACCCGCAATGTAATTATTATACTAAAACCGTTTAATTAATAGAGTTGAATAAACCGACTAACATTCTGCCTTTAACTTATGAAAAAAATCATAGCAATAGTCATAAATTCAAAATAAAAATAAACATAGTAATTAATGTTAATTATCTATTTTGCATAAAATTATACAAAAAAACAGTACACCTAAAACAACTCACCCAATTAATAATTCCAATAGAATATAGAAATTTGATTGTGATTATATCAATTCATTTAACTACATAATATAATCTAAAAATATCACAGCATTAAATTTTAAGAATGCCCTTAAGTTCTATCAAATTGACAGATAAAATAAGAATAACATCCCTTAAATTCTATCGAACAGACAAATAAGTAAATAAATTATAAAAGAGTCTTACACTATCAAAGAAGAATTTTTTATTAAAAATTATGATGATTGATAGCTCAATCATCGACGTTCCGGACTCCAACGGATCCCATTTCCATAGTATGTAATGAAAAGTATATAGTATGATATAAGATAGGATAGCTAATTGGGAATAAAACATAATGAATGAAAAAAAAGTAGCACACCGAAATAAAGAAAAAAAGATATGGAAAATTTATGAACCCAAAATGTATAGAAATCATTTTGCACACTACCAAGAGAAAATGAAACTCGGATTTTCAAGCTTATCATCTATTATTTATAAATTCAGTTCGTGAAAAATCTGTGAATAGGTGTTACTAACAGGTTTTTAAAGCCAAATCTGGTAAATAATAAATTTTAAAATTGAAAGCTCGAAGTATCATTTTCTTCTCTCCTTTATGATAGTTCATCTTTCGGAAATAACAATTTTAATTTTTTATTTAATAATACACTATAAATGTTATAAATATATTATACTTAAATTATAATTTAAAATTTTCCTAGATACTAATTTAGGAATGTAACTTGCATTATTTTAAATGTGCGTGTAAATCTATTGAAGTATATATATTGTAAAAAGAATTTCTACCAAAAATTTTGTATCTATAAACTAAGCTTTCACATTTGTTATAGCATCATTTAAATCAACAGGCAAGTAGATCGAGATTAAAATCTTGCAAGAAAATTCATAGCTAAGACAAAAAGCTTGTTTTTTGGTAATATGGTGCAGGAAGCTTATAACCGACAATCACGTGAAGTGTTTCAATTTTCGCGTGACTGCAATTGACTAATAAATTAATTTAATGTATTCCGACATTCTTTGCAATTAACCATAGCTGCTGCAACAAAATTGGACCGGCAGACCCTCGATTTTGATTGGCTAACGACCGAGGATCATCAAAATTTTGGCCCACATTACAAAATTGTTTACTAATTTCCGTCCGGAATTAACTTTTTAATTTTTTCATTACAAAAATAGAAATTCTTAAAAAATAAACCCGCATTATGGTAAAACTGGCCTAGGAACAATTTTCATTTAATGGGCGGCTATGATCTCGTAAGTAAAATTATGAACAATTCTGGCCTAATTTTTGATCGTCGCTCTTAGCCAATCAAAATCGAGAATCTGCCAGTCCAATTTTGTTGCGGCTAGGGTTGCGCCCCAAACCTACTAGTTTTGGATTAGGTAGAAACCCAAGTAGTATTCGCAAAATGCCCCTAATTTGCCGTAATGTCAAACGTTTTGACATGTAACTAATATTACGGCTAAAAATCTCAGATCTTGGAACTCATCCCATTGTCGGAAACCGACCCAATTGTTGCGGCCCAAGCGTGATTTAAGATCACGGAGATAAGTGCAATTTATTACATTTATTACATTTATTACACTGATGGGATTTATGGAATTTATTACATTTATTACATTTACGGAATTTATGGAATTTATTACATTTATTACACTGATTGTAACACCGAAGATTTTATTATAAATAAAGGCCGTGAAGGCCCTGAGAACAATAAGTTCCGTTTGCTTATAACTATCGATCCCTAATAAAAACTACCAAATTGATCCAATTTACCCAATTGACCCATATAAACCCAAGTCTCTAAATAAACCCGCTATACTAAAATACTTCTTACCCTGATCAATCACTAAGTGGCATAGTGAAAGATCTTCGTCCATCGATTGCCTTGCTCACGTGACTTCGAAAGAAGATTGTTTTCCGGTTGATTCTCGACGGACTGAGGACTGCCGTGGTTTTCCAGCTATCCCAACGTACCGTGAACAGTTGTGATTGTTTTCCAGGTTCCCAACGGACTGTGAAATCTGTGGTTAGATTGTGTTCCGGTTTGTTAGAAATATTGTAAATCGATAATTCAAGTGTTAGTGTTCCATAAACCAGTCCCAACATAAATTGTAGAAGTTATACCTACGTCTAAAATCACCCACTCGCCAAATCTAAACGCCTCTTCGACTAAGCCAAACGTAGGTTAACACAAGGTCCCATTTCGATTAGCGACCGACTGATCCGCTTGTGAACGAAGTCACAAGGCGGTACATTATTGCGAGTCACTGGACTTTCCGTGTGACAGCAGATCACTGATGAAATGGTATTTTAGGTAACTTGATGATCTGCATCGATCTCTTTGTTCTTTGAATTTTCTGCTCGACATTGTGTCCAGCTATCCCCCCACCATAATGTTGTTAGCCGAAATTGTTTTATGCTTGTAGAAATATTTCGACATTTGATATTTAGTCTGCCGAAATGTCTAAATATTGCCAAAATCCTAAATGTCTAAATAATGTCGAAATGTCTAAATTAAGAAATATATATGAAAAAACATAAGGGAATTAGGGTTATTAATCAGTTCCGACTAAAATTGCCGGTCCTGTGGTCCTTCTTAGAACCGGGCCAATCTAGTCTTTATGGACTGGACATACCAAAAAGACTATTGGTCCAAATATAGTAGCTTTAAGTTATTGTAACGACATATGTAGCCTAATTTTTTGTATATGCAAGCGAGGTTAATTTTTTTAATACTGTTGTATCTAAATATTATAAAGTTGTTGCAGTAATTGTTAAAATACTGTAATGCTACAAAATAGCATAGAATAACATAGGATAAAATTCTGCTAGTGTTTATTGTTTAAAGTAATTTTTAGAATTAAGATATTTACTGGTTTTGTGATAGGATATCATTGATCATTAAAGTTCATAGCAAAAGATCTTAATTTTTTTTTACTGTTCAGTCAAGGTTATTTCTTATAGCTGTGAGTTTGTTTTTGGACGTTTTAAAATTTCTAAATTGTTCTATATTTTTACTAATGTGAAATCAGATATAAATCCTCAAGCTGCAGATCTACAACGTAGCTATTATATTCATTATTAAATTGGTAACAGTAAAGCGAGTTATGTTATATTCTGCCATGGGTAATGAATAACTATGATTGGTCATTAATTTAAGAAATCGGTGTTAAAAAGAATGACACAAAGCATTCAAATATTATCAAAATCTGATAGCAATTTAATACCACTAACCCTACCTTAACTTAAGCTAAATGCTTAATTATATTATGTTGCAGTGTAATAAGCATAAGAGGTTGTTAATTACTTTTTAAACTATATAAACATGTTTTGCCAAGTACACTGTTTAATTTGATTTTTGTAATTCCAAATTTGATCTTTATCTCTTAAAAAATATGTTAATTTTGAAAGACTCTAACTAAGATTAGCAAACACTGCACTTTCTTAAACAGTAATAAATTAGTGATGCCAAGAGAAATATAACTTCAATTATTTAGAATTTATATGATTGAAGTTTCATTTTCATATTTAGTCAACCATTTAGACATTTAGTCACATAATATTTATTTAGT